CTGTAGTCGAACGGTGAGACGGACGTGTAGTTCAGTTTTGGGCACGCGTACGGTGCTGCAGGGATTATATATAGGTGTAGTAGTACCTCTTCGGGCTCTTGTACACCTTTTTCTTGCTACGTGTGCGTGTTCTTTAGATCCTCAGATGGCTCTAGCACTTTCGTGACCACGGGCCGAGAGTCTTTGCTAGATTTTGGCATTTAGCAACTGGCATACGGTTTAATGTGAAGTCAACAACAACAACAACAACATAGTTGAGCGCTGAGCGCCGATCGCCGCTGGTTCCACTGCAGGGAATGAGACGCTTTTTCGGATGGAGCTCGTGACAACTGACGACCGACCAAACACCACCAGCGAGACGCTCCACAACCTTCTTCGACGCGAGTCCCGAGAGTTCTGAGACATGGACCAGTGCTATTTCCTAAAAAGCCAGAATAATTAATTACACGAGATGGTCTAACCCTTTTTTTGTCCAAAATAGGAGCCTACACTTGAAACAGGTGAAATCGCAGACGAGGTGACCTTAAACGGAAGTCACTTCTTTCGCGAACAAGACAAACAGAAACTCCGTGTCGTGAATTACCCTCGCGTCGGACAACATCGAACAAATGGGATGTGGCCTATGCCTTCACTCAGCCCCGGCCTTCGACGTTTGTCAACGCCTAGCTCTCGGTGAGTTACAATCGGCAGCGAGTTTTTACGCCAACGTCACGTAGCCCCGTGCAAACTACTTGGAACTTATGTGCGCGCTATCTTTTATGTCGGGGGGTCGTCTACTGGGGCTCCTTGGCGTAGCAGAATTCTCACCGTGCGAGGAGAGCGGGCGTAGCCTTTTTACTGGTTCTGTAACGGTCAAAATCCCTATTTTGCGTGAGTCAGAAGAATTTTCCGAAGGTGTGGAGAGAATCCGAGGCATTAAGGACATATCAAATCTCACCGCCACCGAGACTGATCAGCGGTATGGCAAATCGTCCAGCACCAGCCTCAAAAATTGTTTCCAGAGAGTGAGGGTGATCGGCACCCATTCAGCGATTCGAAAGTGGTGCACGCTGCTAAGAGCAAAAACAACAGAAGAAGCGATGGGGGCGGCATCAAACACCTCGACATAATCCGCAGCGACAACATCAATGCAACCCCATCGCAACACAGCACCACCACCAACAGCAGCCAAATCGACAACAGCATCAACAACAAAACTTCGAAGTATGAGCAGCAGCAGCAACAACGAGAAATACAAGACAACAGCAAGGTTCTCAACAACTTCGGCAACGTGTTTACAAAACACAGGAAGAACCACACAAGAAGCGAAATGACAAAGAGGAGCGTTTGAACCAGGCACATACATGCATACCTCCGGCCAAACCCGAACCCTTGAGAGACCGCACCACGCTTGCTGCTCCGTGCGCATACAGGGCTCCGTGACAGCTCTCGGTAAAATCCAGACTCCGACCATCGCGAGCGGCGAGGACAGCGAGGATCAGCTCACTCCACAAAAGCGCTCGAAGAAATGGAGAAAACGGCGTCTTCCCCCGCTCCGAAGACCCCTGCCGTCCTGCCCACTTTCAGCAGTGACATNCATCGCGAGCGGCGAGGACAGCGAGGATCAGCTCACTCCACAAAAGCGCTCGAAGAAATGGAGAAAACGGCGTCTTCCCCCGCTCCGAAGACCCCTGCCGTCCTGCCCACTTTCAGCAGTGACATCTCGGCGCTGGCAAGATACGAAGTTTGCCCGCCGGTGTTGTACATGCAGCAAGAAGCTCGCCGCTCCGAAGACCCCTGCCGTCTGCCCATTCTCAGCAGTGCCATCTCGGCGCTGGCAAGATACGAAGTCTGCCCGCCGGTGGCGTAAAAGTGTAGGAGGCTACACTGACTGCCACAGTGGCCGAATAAGAGGACGAAGGTTTTCTGGGTGGATTTATCACACTACCACTGCTGCTGCAAGTAAGTGTAAATAAATGCTACGGTATGGAAAAGGAGAGGTTGCCTAGAACAACCAAGGAGGAGATGTGGGCAAACAAGAAGAATAGGTGTATACCAACATACGGAGTGGGTTAATGTTGTTGTACGCATGGAAGGGGTTCGAAATTGACGAAGGCGAATGCTGGAAAAGCAAGGTTTTTTAGAGGGGTTCAACGAGGTTTGTGTCTGTTGCTTGCAGAGAGAGAACATATCGTAACCAAATACACCAAGGATAAGGACGGTTTGCATGTGTACGGAATGCTGAAAGATGGAAAACATTTAAGGAATACCTTCTTCATGGACCAATGGATGTCGGGACAAAGCTGAAAGTCAAGCTTTGGACTGGGGACACTGGTTGTCGAGAACGTGACGAAGACTGGGAACGTAAACGATGAAGACGACAAATCCACATAGTCTACATGTGAATGCGGCTCCGAGTGCGAAGACCATATATATATATTCATGTAAATGCGGAATGTCCGTTGTACAAGAGAGGGACACGTACATGAGTGAGCTGGGACAACTACAAGGAAAAGGAACAGAGACCTGTTTGGGGCATAGAGTAGCCAGGAGAAGACGGGATCGTAGCTGGGCATAGGAAATGGGTTGAACAGGCGGGAACCGATGTCATCGATAGGATAGATAGACTAGGGAAAACCTTTTAGGCAACTTAGGATCGAACGATTGGCCATCGGTGATCGCTCCTGCGGGAACAACGCTGCGTCCTGTCGAGGACGCTTGGTCAATGGTCTAACCGCTAAGGCATCCAAAACATGAGAGGAGAGAGAGGAAGCACCCCCTTCGGATTCAACTTGTACGATCGGGAAGAGGTGTAAGGAAGCTAAATGGCAAGTATTCAGCCGTATGGTGTAGTACGATATGGGAGAAGAGGAGAGGTTGCAGAGAGAAGCTTGGGAGGCGACGTGGACAAACAAGAATAATAGGCGAACAACCCAGGGAGGGAGTGGATCAAGGTTAAAGATGACGTCTGGACGAGGTTTAAATCGACGAGGTCGATACATTGGAAACGAACGGTAGATCTATAGTCTAGGGGTCCGAGAACAAGAAATCTGCTACGTTTGCCGAGAGAGAACACACAAAAAATTCAACGATAAGGAGGGGTCTAGATGTATGTGTACGGATGTTGACAAGGAATAGGTACCTACTACGTGGACCGACGGATGAAGGGACAAAGCCGAAGGTCAAAATCAGGACTTAGGACAACGGCCTTAAAAAACGTTGACGAAGATTCGGGAAGGAAGACAATCAAGACGACAAGTTCAACTGTGAACGCGGCTTCGAGTGCGAAGACCGGGTTCATGTCGTTGCGACACGTCCGTGTTGGGCGACAAGGGTAGATACATGACTGAGTTGGACACGTGGAAGGAAAGGTGTGGTCGAGGCTTGGTAGAGAAAACAAAAAGAGTCGTTGTGTCATATTAAGAAAAAAAAAAAAGTGATTTAATATCCACACACAGACGCCTGGACTGTCTGCACCTGACGGTTACAGTAAAACAGAACGCCTTCACAATACCGTATCAAACACATACAGTAGAATAAAGTCGGTCTTGCACAGCAAACACCCCAACATGTCCTCTCAAGAACGTAGGTCATTCTGATACATGAGACTCGAATCTTCTCTCGATGTCCTCTCAAATAATGTCCTCTCGAAAACAACTCACGAGTACTTGCGATCTCTCAACTCAAAATTAAATAGTCATTACTGTGGAGGCCAGGATATTCGTATCTTCTTATACTTACACACGCACATACAAAGGGAGTGAA